TAATATACAGTTATATAGATTTATTGGTCAATCATATTTTGCATTTATTATGCTTTTTAATCCAGCACAATTACACATTATCTTCATGCTCTAAACTACTTGTAAGGAAAGAAAAATATGGAAAGCTAAATGGAGAGAATGCTTATGGGTTCACGCTTTTTTGTTTTTTTTTTTTAAAACAGAAAGCACCGAGGAAACATACAACAGAAAGCTCCAGGTCTTATCCACAAGGTTTAAGTTAAAGACATATGCAAATTAGCAAAAAGCTTGATGAGCTTTCTTTTTCTGTAATCTCCTTCTGGCTGGTAGGATTACCACTATCCAGATAGGGAAACTTACATAGTATAGAGGATGTGAGAGCTTTTGAAGTATTTTTCACATTTGCTCTTGAAAATATAGAAATATCTGGCTCTGATTTCTTTTTACATCAAAAGACAACTTAATAGACAAATGTTATTAAGTATTCATGTTTAATAGCTGTACTTATAGCTCATTACAAAGCTAATTTATATATAGAATTTGCACAGGGCCCTGTTTTTCTATGTCATTTGCTTCTCTGAGTTGAATTCTTATAACTTACAGCAAATGCCATCTATTTTCAACCTCAAGGTGGAACGATAAGAAAAGATAGGCCTGATTGATTCTCAGTGTGAAGTTTAGAAACTGTCCACTCTAAAACACTCTGGAGAAAGTTTTAAAAGCCATTTTCCTGTGTGTGAAGAAAGTTAGATAACGTATATTTTCTTTGTAATCTTGGTTGGCTTTATATTTGGAAATGGAATTGCTTTAGAAAGTATAATTATCAGTTTATATATGCATGCTTTTGTTAACCAATTATTGTCTATCAAAGAAAATCAGAACTTGAAATTACATGAAAAAATACTTTACTTTGTGCCAAAAAAACCTTTACATTAATTTTTGATTCAGTAATGAAAGTTAAAAGGATGTTTTTTGCTACTATAAATTTTAAAAAAGATAATCTAGTGATTTAGATGCCTATAAAAATCCACCACTCATCTGTCAGTCTGTCGTACTGTGATGGCTTGCATGTTGCTGTGATGCTAGATGCTATGACACTGGTAATTTCAAATGCCAGAAGGGTCACCCATGGTGGACAGGTTTCAGCGGAGCTTCCAGACTAAGACAGACTGGAAAGAAGGACCAGGTGATCTGAAAAAAATGGCTAGTGAAAACCTTATAAATAGCAGCAGAACACTGTAATAGTGCTGGGAGAGGAGCTTCTCACGTTGAGGAGCTCATCCTCAGGTTGATGAGCTCCTCAAAATACAACTGGAGAAAAGCTGCCTCCTCAAAGTACAATCGACCTTAATGACGTGGATGGAGTAAAGCTTTCGGGACATTCATTTGTTGATGTGGCATGACTTTAAATGAGAATAAATAGCTGCAAACTATCCATTAGTAATTGGAACATGAAATGTATGAAGTATGAACCTAGGAAAATTGGAAGTTGTCAAAAACGAAATGGAATGCTTGAAGATCAATATTCTAGGCATTAGTGAGCTGAAATGGACTAGTACTGGCCATTTTGAATCAGATAATCATATGGTCTACTATGCCAGGAATGACAAATTGAAAAGGAATGGCATCGAATTCACTGTCAAAAAGAACATTTAAAGAGCTATCCTGAAATACAACACTGTCAGTGTATGACAATATCCACATACCTACAAGAAAGACCAGTTAATACGACTATTAATCAAATTTATCCACCAACCACTAACACCAAAGATGAAGAAATTGAAGACTTTTACCAACGTCTGCAGTCTGAAATTGATCGAACATGCAATCAAGATGCACTCGTAATTACTGGTGATTACAGTGCAAGAGTTGGAAACAAAGAAGGATCAGTAGTTGGAAAATATGGCCTTGGTGATAGAAATGTCAGATCTGGGGTCTTAAAAGCTAGCGAGCGGCCATCTAAGATGCATCAATTGGTCCCAATCCACCTGAAACAAAGGAGAATGAAGAACACCAAAGACACAAGGAAAATATTAGCCCGGGAGACAGAAAGGGCTACATAAACCAGACTCCATCAGCCTGAGATCAGAAGAACTAGATGGTGCCTGGCTACAACCAGTGACCGCCCTGACAGGGAACACAACAGAGAGTCCCTGACAGAGCAGGAGAAAAGTGGGGTGCAGAACTCAAATTCTAGTAAAAAGACCAGACTTAATGGTCTGAGAGTGGAGGGAACCCGGAAGACACGACCCCAGGACTCTCTGTTAGCCCAGAACTGAAACCATTCCCAAAGCCAACTCTTCAAAGATTAGACTGGACTATGGGACAAAAAATGATACTGGTGAAAAGAGTGCTTCTTAGCTCAAGTAGAAGACACATGAGGCTAAATGGGCAGCTCCTGTCCGGAGGCGAGATGAGAAGGCAAAAAGAGGAGCTGGTTGAATGGACACAGGAAATCTGGGGTGGAAAGAAGGAGTATGCTGTCGCATTATAGGGAGAGCAACCAGGGTCACATAACAATGTGTGTATAAATTTTTGTATGAGAAAACTAACTTGAACTGTAAACTTTCACTGAAAGCACAATAAAAAGACTTAAGCATCAAAAAGAAAAAGAAAAAATGATGCCAGAAATTGCATGACAGAATTTTGCAAGACCAATGACCTACTCATTGGAAATACTTTTCATCAACAACTTAAATGGCAATTATACAAGTGGACCTCTCCAGACAGAATCCACAGGAATCAAATCAACTGTATCTATGAAAAGAGACAAAGGAAAAGCTCAATATCATCAATCAGAGTGAAGTCAAGGGCCAACTGCGGAAGAGACCATCAATTGCTCATATGCAAGTTTAAGCTGAAGCTGAAGAAAATCAAAACAAGTTCAAGAGGGCCAAAGTACAACCTTGAATAGATCCCACCTGAATTTAGAGACCGTCTCAAGAAGAGATTTGACGCATTGAATACTAATGACTTAAGACCAGGTGAATTGTGGAATGATATCAAGGACATCATACATGAAGAAATAAAAAGGTCATTAAAAAAACAAAGAAAGACAAGACTAAAATGGATGTCAGAAGAGGCTCTGAAACTTGCTCTTGAACGTCGAGTAGCTAAAGTGAATGCAATAGATGATGAAGTAAAAGAGATGAACAGAAGATTTCAAAGGGCAGCTAGAAAAAAGTATTATAATGAAATGTGCAAAGACCTGGAGTTAGAAAACCAAAAGGGAAGAACATGCTCAGCATTTCCCAAGCTGAAAGCACTGAAGAAAAAATTCAATCCTCGAGTTGCAATATTGAAGGATTCTATGGCTAAAATATTGAACGACACAGGAAGCATCACAAGAAGATGGAAGGAATACACAGAATCACTGTATCAAAAAGAACTGGTCAATGTTCAACCATTTCAGGAGGTGGCATATGATCAAGAACTGATGGTACTGAAGGAAGAAGTCCAAGCTGCACTGAAGGCGCTGGCAAAAAACAAACCCCCAGCAACTGATGGAATACTCATTGAGGTGTTTCAACAAACGGATGCAGTGCTGGAAGTGCTCACTTGTCTATGCCAAGAAATTTGGAAGACAGCCACCTGGCCAACTGACTGGAAGAGATACATATTTGTGACCATTCCAAAGAAAGATGATCAAACAGAATGCGGAAATTATCAAACAATATCATTAATATCACACACAAATAAAATTTTGCAGAAGATAATCCAAAAATGGTTGCAGCCGTACATCAACAGGGAACTGCTGGAAATTCAAGGTGGATGCAGAAGAGAACGTGGAATGAGGGATATCATTGCTGATGTCAGATGATCTTGAAAGCAGGGAATACCAGAAAGATGTTTGCCTGTGTTTTATTGACTACGCAAAGGCATTTCAGTGTGTGGACCATAACAAATTATGGATAACATTTCAAAGAATGAGAATTCCAGAACACTTGTGTTCGTGGGAACCTGTACATAGATCAATAGGCAAATAATCCGAGAAGTTGGACTATATGAAGAAGATCGGGGCTTCAGGATTGGTGACTCTTCAACGACCTGTATTATGCAGATGACACAACCTTGTTTGCTGAATGTGAAGAGGACTTGAAGCCCTTACTAGTGAAGATCAAAGACTACAGCCTTCAGTATGAATAACACCTGAACATAAAGAAAATAAAAATCCTCACAACTGGAATAATAAGCAATATTATGATAAACGGAGAAAAGATTGAAGTTGTCAAGGATTTCATTTTCCTTGGATCCATAATCAACACCCACGGAAGCAGCAGTGAAGAAATCAAGTGACATATTGCACTAGGTCAATATGCTGCAAAAGACCTCTTTAAAGTGTTAAAAAAGCAAAGATGTCTCCATGAGCATTAAGGTACACCTGGCCCAATCCATGGTATTTTCAATTGCCTCATATGCACTCAAAAGCTGGATAATGAATAGACAGTGAATAAGGAAGAACAAAGAAGAACTGATGCATTTGAATTATGGCGTTGGGGAAGAATATTGAATATACCATAGGCTGCCAAAGAACGAACAAATCTGTCTTGGAAGAAGTACAGCCAGAATGTTCTTAGAAGCAAGGATAGTGAGACTTTGTCTCAGGTACTTTGGACCTGTTATCAGGTGAGACCAGTCCCTAGAGAAGGACATCATGCTTGGTAGAGGGTCAGCGAAAAAGAGGAAGACCCTCAATGAGAGGGACTGACACAGTGGCTACAACAATGAGCTCAAGAATAGCAACAATTGTGAGGATGGGGCAGGGCCGGGCAGTGTTTAGTTCTGTTGTATATAGCGTCGCTTCAGTTGGAACCAACTTGACAGTACCTAGCAACAATAACATCAAGAAAATAAAATTAAATTCAGTATGTCAATAGTAATCCAAAGATCTAGAAAGCTGGCTGTCATGGGCTACTGAAACACACTTCCCTGAGTCACTTTCTGTACCGCTAATAAAGTATTATAGCTAAATGCAGGTTGGAAAATTCTTGGTCTTTCTAAACAAATTGATCACGCTGTAATTTACTTTGTATTTTACAAACTTTATTAAATAATGGGCATTACTAACGTTATCTTATATACAGTATTTAAACTATGTTTTCCTAGATGTATTTTTCACAGAGTGGGTGTAAAGTGAACTTATAAAACAAATTGAACCATCAGCACAGGGACCTAATAAGAACTTGACATATGTTTAAGTACATACAAGTTTTTTCCCCAATTATATACACCCCACCCCACCTCCAAAAGAAACTATTTTAAACAAATGCATTTAACCAATAACTTTGAGGAAAAAGTACGAACATGATTATGTATATACACATAGCTCTGAAAATCTGCATCCTGGCTGACGGAAGTTACTGGTGATTTTTAACACTACAGGTTTGTCCCAGAAACTAAAGCCAACCACGGAGAAACTGGATACAGTAAGACATCCACCTTTGAGCAGCAGAGCATATTCCCATAGTTGACCCCAAAGCCATGCAGCAAGACAAGACACTGTTGTGAAGAATTAATGATTTCTGAGATTAAGACATAACGACAGTATGAATAATGTAGAATTTGGGTCATACAAAGTAGAAAGCCCAAATGGGAAACTGCATTCCTGGGACAAGAAGACTTAGGTAAATTTGTTTTTTTATAGGTAATGTAAAAGCATTTACAAATACTTCTAGCAAGTCTAAGAACATACTTTCTTGGTGCTTTTTTTCCCTGATATTGCTTAATCTTGAAAGCCTGTATGATGTTTAAACGAAGGCAATGAAAGAAGGAATGTTTCCAGAAACATGCTATTCAATACTGACTTTGTTTTTTAAACTACAAGAAAAAAAGAATAGTTTGGAGAAGAAATTTGGGTTGAGTGTTTTTTGTTATTTAAAAACAAAAATGAATGCCTTGGGTACCTATCAGTAAAATAAGGATGGTCACATTTTAAGAAAAAGAGGCATAGGATTTAAAAAGAGGAAAAAAATTATGGTTTAAGAGGTCACTAATTCAAATTATTGTTTACCTTTAAATGAAAAGCCTAGCTCCCCTTTCTGCACACATAGTATCATATCTTTTAAAATGGAAATGCAGAGGGTGTGAAGACACAGAAAGTAAAATTGCTTAAAATGAGAATATAAACTCTACTGTTTGAGAAAGCATTCTTGTTGCATTAACTGGAATCTTCAATAAAATGGAATCTATAAAGTAGCAAGAAATCTGCCTCCATTTTTTTCTTTAATGTCTTTGATTTTGCTTTTTCCTTAAAGTCTTGCCTTCGTTTTTTCTGTTTCTCCATGAGGAGTTAGATCAGTATATACGATCATAATCAATTGCCATTTAAAGACCATAGTTACAACATAAAAGATGTCATTGTTAGAACTTAGTAACCAAGACTCTGTCCCTTTATATGTCTCAAAACATTGGAAAAAGGCCCCCATGTTATGTCTGGTATAGGAAACAAATTCTTGCCACATTCCTTCAGTCAATGACTCCTCAGAACCAAAATGAGGTCACTTGGCTGAATTCAAAATTCATGAATGTACTTAGGAAAAACTGCTCAGGCAAGGGTAACTTTAAAGTGCTTTGTCTTATTTTAGCTTATGGTTTACTTTGTGTTGGTTATTTGTTGGTATGGAGAGTTTGTGTTTTTTTTATCTTGCTTAACTGTGATATGAGAAAATTTAGTTGATCCCAGATATCATCTCATCTTTTCTCAAAATTAAGTCAATTTGCATTTTATTGAACATAGATTTCTTTAAGCCATGAAGGGAAACATTTCACCCAAGAAATCATAAAATAAACAATACGAGCAGCACATTATCCAGGTCTTGTCCAGGAATACAGCTAAGGATTTTTGCTTAGAGCAAATTGGTCCTGCCACATTTCAATCTTCAACAGTCACACAATTTCTGCATTGTTAAGAATTGATGTAGGAATACCAAGATAGAGACTCTAAAGTGGGCAGCACAGACTACACTCTAACTAGAGATCTCTGGCTTATGTTACTCTAGGGTCTTGCCATGAATGTAACAAAAATGCCAGATTTAAGCATAATCCCTTCATGTAGCTTTAGTTTTCTTTCCTTTTGAAAAAGCCTCCTTGCTGCCTTTGAGTCCTAGGATAAAACTACTCACAGCTTCCAGTGAATACTAGAGGATTATTGCATTTCTTAAAGTCTGGGCATTATTGTCAGGATATGGGGAAAAATATCATGGCCATCATGTTAAAAAAATGCCTAAAAATTTTCAAGTAAGACTGACTTACATGAAACATAAAGATAATCAGCACCAGAATACATGTTGGATGCTGATATCTGCTACAGTACAATCCTGGCTAGTCATTAGCCGTTACAAAAAGTTGTGCTGTAAAGGGAAGTATATTACACCCTTACGGTTATTACAAAATTGCTTTCATCTGGTACATATAAAACACCTCATCAGTATCTGTAATTTATGAGCATAATAAGAAGTCAATCCAGGCAGCTACTATTAAGAACTTTAGGCAAAGCTGTTCGAACTAAGACACTGGAATTTTTCCCGTAGAGACTGGACGATATTTTGTTGATTGGGAGATGGCCCGCTCCAAAGATAGTCATCCAGTTTGTCAGAACCGTCTGATGTCAGATAGGGTGAAAGACCAAGTTTGCTATTTATCGGCTTCTTTGGGGTGCAAGGACTATTTAAAGAGTAAGATGTGCTGTTGCTGCAGACATTATCAAAGGAGTCAGCCTCCGTCTCCTTTGGGTCAGATTTTCTTCTATGATTATGAGTTAACTCTACCTCATCTTCTTCTGACTTTATCTCCACATAGTCATCTTCATCTCCTTCGGTCTCTTTGAAATTGGAAAAATAATTCTGGGTAGCTATGTGGGCACTTAAGGGTAATTTTCTATTGACTACTAGAACTTTCTGTGAGTCTTGCAGTGTGAGCTCCGAGCGTTTTCCAGTGCCCTGCTGACATGAGTCGGCAACACCTGGCAGCAAATCCTGGTGACTGTCACACCTTGAGCTTCTGTGTAAAGTAGACAGCAGCTGCTTCTTTCTGGTCTCGTTAGGGTAGCTGATGGAGTCCACTGATTTGTTTATCAAGACTGAGGAAGTTGACTGAGACCTGTTATAAGGCTGAGATTTAGCACTGATTCCTTTCCGGCCCAAAGAGTTGTAAAGATGGTCCTGACATGAGTTATCTTTGCTGGGCTGACTTACTACCACGCTGCGTCTCTGCACGGGGCCTGGCAGAGGGTCAGCGGTTTGAAGAGAAGGCACGGAGTAAGCTGTGGACAATTGTCTGGGAGTACTTTTTGTACTGAACTCTAGAGTGGAATATATTGACTTCAAGTCTTGCTCTGGCTGGGAACAGAAATCTGCTAATTCTCCATTACTGTAGGTTGAATGCAAAAGCCAGTCTTCACAACCATGTTGAGCCTGGGAAGGTGGTGTAGACTTAAGGCTAGAGGATTCCTGCTGGCTGGCCCAGTCATCCTTCTGAATTTTAAGGGGAGACTCTCTGAATACAATCTGGTCATACAGTTGGGAATACTCAGCAATCCTGGCACCTGGAAGGCAAATATATGGAAACATATACATACAGGATTATTTCTTTATGCAAAGATTAAAAATAAGAACATAACATTCTAACCAACATATTTAAAAAAATTAAACAGTAGACAGGGCTTTTAAATGAGGATGAGTAATCACTGAACACTAAGCAACACAAACTAATAAAATAATCTATAGTTTAATATAAATGAAAATGTCACCTAAAAGCTCATTTAATTTGATATAATTCTGGGTTATTTTATTTCAACAGCAGGTCTGCAAGTTTCCATTATATGTAATGAAAAATTTTACTTGTTCTTTACAAGCATGAAATAGTAGCATCAATGCTGAAAACAGGCATTATAAAAAACAAAGTCAGTACTTAAGCCTTGGTCAATGAAAAGTACCTCAAATTGTCATTAAAAGAAGCATGACCACAACCCACAATGCAAAGGCTACCCCTGACTTTTCACTACTCTTGATTGCTCTCAGACAACTAGTCCCAGAGGAGTCTGCTCATGGCGGCTGTTAAGGCACTTCCTGTTTCTAGGCAGCCCTCCATGGCCACTGTCTGGGGAACCAACGTCTAGGGAAGGTCCTCCCTTCCAGTACTTCGAAACCACATTTATTGACTAATTCACTCTCCTTGTCCATCCCCAAGAAGCCAGGCACTAAATTCTATGCCTCCAAGATATTAAGAATGAACTATCTGTGCATATAGTCGATAATCTGATGCTTTATAGTATTGGTTCCAGATAAGCACTTGGCAGTTACTTCCAGAAAGCTTCTGCCACATAAAATTAAGCTATGAGGCTATTCTCCCCTTTATCCCACTTCTGAGTAAAGACATTTCTAAAGACACTAACTGAATCATGATATGGATAGAGTGTTCTCTTGGGCCAGCAGTGATTTAAGAGAGGAGCCTGGAGACATCAGTTTTAAGAGCTGCTCCCCACCCCCATTTCCCTACCCTCAATCAAAAGGACCAAGGGACTGGCTGGACCACCCTAGAATCAAAGAACTCCATAATCAAACCAAACTCGTTGCTGTCGAGTTAATGCCGACTCATAGCCACCCTATAGGACAGAGCAGAACTGCCCCATGGGGTTTCCAAGCAGCGGCTGATGGAAAGAACTCCATACATCCTATAAACTGCTTGGACCACATCTTCACAATCTCTATGAAGGTATTATATCCTACATATAACAACCACCTGGTGATATTATGGTTTCTTCTTCAGCAAGCTGTTTCTACTTTTAGTAACCTGTTGTTTTAAATTATTCAATAAATTTAAACTCACTCAGTTGAGTTTCTCCTATTTTTTTTTGAGTCTATCTTCTATGAGGACAGGAAACCTGTTGTTTTTCTTTGTGCCCTTTAACTACAACTCCCCAGTCCCCTCAAACCCCCTTCAATCCCCACCCCTGCAATGAGGGTAAACAGTATGTTTAACTTCTCATTATCAATTCTATATTCAGATACTTTGGGTTTTCAAATACAAATTCCTTGGAAGGACCAAACCAAAAAAACCAAACCCGTTGTACGTCAGGTTGATTCCAACTCATAGCGACCCTATAGGACAGAATAGAACTGCCCCGTAGAGTTTCCAAGGCTGTCATCCTTACGAACGCTGACTGCCGCATCTTTCTCCCACAGAGTGGTTGGTGGGTTCAAACTGCCTACCTTTCGTTTAGCAGCCAAGTACATAACCACCAGGGCTCCTTTCTGACCATCTTAGCCACCCTGGAATCTATAATGTCTCAGCAACTATGAAGCCCAACCAAAGGCAGTTGGGCCTTTAGATGTAGTCATTGGTTGGTAGTCCAACCTGAAAATCGGATGGTTATGCCAAACCCATTCTCAAATATGCTTCTTTTGCTTAATCAAATCTACCCATTTCTCAAGACCTGCCATAAGGCCCATCCCTTCCAGGAATCCCTTTTTAACTGATTTATCTTATCTGAAGTTTTATATACTTAGTGTGTGCCATAGTCCTTAGCTATTGGTTGCTCATGCATATACACAATCTTGTGTTGCTAGTTGTTTTATATGGGCTAGTTTATTATTCCAGCTAGTCTATGAGTTTTTAATCTCGGAGAACAACATTGTACATTTTGCTCAAATCCCTACAGAGCACGTAGCATAGCTCCAGATCGAAGTCGTCTCAATAGCTACTTCATTACTCAGATAATTTTTCAACTGCCTCCTTTTATTTTAAGCATCATGTTAAAAATGGATGTGCTTTTCCTGAGACCACCACTGAGGGTGGAAAGGCAGCATGGAAATCAGGGGCACAGCAGGAAAAGAGGAAGCAGGAAGACAGCCTCTGATTAAAATAGAAGTAAGATAACTCGTAATGTTATTTGTTACCATGGAGTCCATTCTGATTCACAGCGGCTCCGTGTGTATCAGAATAGAACTGTGCTCCGTAGGGTTTTCAAGGCTGTGACCTTTCAGAAGCAGAATGCCAGGACTGTCTTCTGGGTGAGTTTGAACTGTCAGACTTTCAGCTAGTAGTTGAGTGCTTAACCATTTTCCCCACCCAGGGACTCCCAGAGATAACTCATAACAGGTACAGTTCATCTTTGGATACCGAAGAATTGACCATTTAACAACTTTGAATAAAAAAAATCTCACCAAGTAGACAACATGCCTTCCAAGGTTTTTTGTGTGTGTCAACTTGACATAATAAAAGAGCCTAACTTGATGCCAATGTGAATGAAAGATAGCAACAGCTATCATTAAACAGATTCCCTTAGCCAGACGCAAAGGAAATGGCTAGCCTAACATGATACCTCTAGCTTAAAAAGCTTAGTGTTAATCAGCTGCATCCAAAGTTCTACTTCATCCTTAGTTCTGGAATTAACAGTCTCTATAGAACATGTAATGACAATCCCAGGGTTGTCTTTGGTTCATTTCTCTTTTTGCAGGTTTAAAAGGTAGAATTCTTACGATTGCAGATAAAAATTTGAAGTGATCCTTGCTCAGGGAAGTATGAAGCATACTGTTTTTAAGACAGAGGATTAAAATCAATGGTTCTGATGTATGCTTCAGATATAAAGCATAAAATGTTATTCTGTCCTTTCACAAGGAGGAAGCCTTCTCAAGTCGCTATGGAGTTTTCTCCCATGTGAAACATCACAAAAAACAGGAACCCAAAGGCATCCTTGGCCTCACAGACTATTGGGGGGAGGCCAACTGACAAGATGGCCGGCATGCTACAACAGGCTCTAAAATGTGGGAGCAACTAGACCTGGTTGGGTGATTTCTAGGCGGATATCTGACCCGGGGCCTATAGACCCCGGCTAGAGAGTTCAATAAAGATGCTCGAGAGTTTCGGCAGGTGAATAGGGCGCTCCTCCTTCTGCACAACACCGAGAGCAAGCTCCTGGCAAAGTGGCAAGGCCCACACGAAGAAGTCTGGAGAATCGGTCCATTCGATTATGACGTCCTGTGCCCAGATAAACAAGAGAGAGAAAAGGGGTCATCATGTCAACTGGTTGAAAGCCGAGTGGGCACAGGAAGTGGTCTCGATCCACCCAGATGGAAGAGGCGTCAGGTCCCAGAGATGGCAGGCCCTAGGGACGTACTCCTGCCAGATAGCAGGGAAGACACCACTCAGAAGACAACGGTGGAGAGAATCTCCTCTCTGTTGGGGAGAACATCAATAGCAGCCAACCATGTCAAGAAAAGACCCAGACGCAAAGCTGAGAAAAGATCCTACAGGATTCCAAGACACCAGGAGTTAAAACGAAAATGAGAATAAACTAAATTGGAAAAGAACTAAAACCCCCAAATTGAAATCAGTTAATACTTAACAAGGGGAATAAAAAAGATGACTATTCAAGTTAGTTGTAAGACCTCATAATTTATTCTCGAAAGGACATGCTTCTACCAAGGTTAGAATTCTTGCTTTTAATGGATGATCCACATTGAAAACAACCAGGCCCAGGCAATTACTACTTATTAAATGATACTCTGCTAGCATAATCCATTGTTGTCAGAAACATTAGCATCTTATTTTCTTTTATCCTGAGAAGAGCTGCCATGACTTCTGGCCCCAGCCCAGATTCACTCAGTGGTTTCAACTGCTACTTTCCTAATACACAGCTGTTTCCAACTGCCATCTATGCCTGAAAAAATAAGTCCTTCTGCAGCTGGAAACCAAGTTACTTTCTCTGAGTCTAACAACAAACCAGTTTAACAATACTAGCTTTTGAAAATGGACATGAATTACTTCAAGCATAGTACTGCAAGGAGACAAATATATGTGACCTATTCTCTCTCACATTCATACAAAATCACGTTAAACCTGTATTCTATTTAAAAAAGAAAATAAAAGAAGAACTCAAAGGAAAGTCTGTGAAATCCTCCAGGTATCAATTCTAGGGCTTAAATTCTCTATTAAGACATTTTACTGTACAATTTTGGAAGAAAGTCCTGGTGATCTACTTCAGAAAAATCAGCCATTGAAACTCCAATGGAGCACGGTTCTACTTTAACACACATGGGGTCAGCGTGAGTCAGCATGGTTTTGTTTTTTTTTTTTTTTTTTTTTTTTTACTGTATGATTAGCTCTAGAAAAGATTAAAGCTTTACATAATTCTTAAATATTCCCAAACCAAGAAAACAAACACAAAACCCTGTGGATTCTTGTCATGTAACTTCCAGATTTATTTAGGACTTGAATATCTCCTCCGGCATATCCTCTGGTTTCCATGGAGATAAATAAATCCATCCCAAACAAAGGACATTAATGGCATCAACCTGGCCAAATCTCCATGTTGTTATCAAGAGACCATATCTGAACCTGTCCTCAAGACTGAGCCATCTGGTTTCTATTTTCAATTGGGGATTAACTCCTGTCATTATATTAAGGTGGTTCTGTGTCAGGAAACCTGGGGCACATTTTAAAAATTACGGTGTAAAAGTAAAAGCCATAATGTTTTAAAATGCAGATTTCTGGGCCTAACCCCAGACATCTCTCTGGACCTAGGAGCAAACAGCTAGTCAGGTGAGAATGGTCGCCCTTGGAGATTTTTCTTTCCGTGACTATCATGTACCTTATCCAAACAGATGCTCTTCCACTGTGGCTACTGTTAACTTTTGTCCCTCAGAACCCTAAGGTAGCCCGGGGCTATGTCCTTCACAACAGAGGAAAAAAATCAACTCAGGAACATCTCATTCCCTTAGCCCTAATCTATCCAATATCATACCTCAGATCTTGGTTTAGTTCTGCTCCCAAAAGAGGCTGCACTACAGAATTACACTTCTTGAAAACATATGTAAGAAAAGCAACTGAGATGCTATACTTTACAACAGCTATTTTTAAAAAATCAAATCGTAACCAAAATAAGTAAGAACGCAACTAAGTGGACTGCAGCATGAACAGCTAAGAAAAGTGTCAGAAAGACTCCTTTTTGTTATAGTTGGAATGAGTAGGCATTTTTGTGGGGAATTCTAGAGCCAAGAGCAACCCTAGTCCACATGCTTCCAAACCTTAAAAGCTTACATGATCTACTATTCCTCCTAACAAATTACTGAAACACAGGTTAAACCTGACTGCTATTTTTCATACTTTAGATTATCTTAGAGAAAACTTTCTTAAAACACCAATCCTATAATGACAATGTTACACATAAAACAAAACCCAACTAGGCCAAATCAAGCTCTAACTTACACTCCCCATCATTTGATTCACTGAAGTGCGAAAAGATTAACAATAGCTTCATTGGTGATCTTCGATACCATAAATGTTTGACGATGTGATCACACATATATCAGTTTTACGGACATTTTAGAATCTGAAAACTATGCTCACATCTTACTATCAAGAAGGAAGAAAAGCACGGTGAACATACCAATGGCAGTCCCTCCTTGCTTCTTCTCTTCTAAAATGGCAGCCAGATCTTTGTGTACTAAGTTATGCTGCTGACTGGTTGGTGGCTGCTCCAACTCTGGACTCTTCACTCTCAGAAGTTGATTTGCCTTCTTGATCTTCTGGCTATATTGCCTAGCCATCAAAAAAACTCTGCTTTTTGTTTTATCTGAGGCCTCTGCCCCAGGCTCAGGGATTTCTTGGTCTGTTTGGGACAGACTGCCGATGGCCAAGTCATAGGGATTTTCCATAGGAGGTATCTCACTGGCCAGAGAGAGCCGATTAAGACTCACAAAGGAGCCTTCTTTAGAAATCAGGTCTTCGTCCAATGGGTAGTGGGCCCGGCTAGCTCTGCCAGCCCTGTTTTTCACAGGGGTGAGGAAAGTGTGGCTCTCTGGAAGTGACAGCGTGGACGTGGAATGGGCAGTGTCCTTGCTCAGCTCAGGTGTGCTCCCCGCATGCTGCCTGTCCGGCACATCGTCCTTGCTAACAGGAAACGCAGCGAGGAGACGGTCTCTAGTTTTGTCTTCATTTTTCTTGATGTAATTTTCAAGATCATTCCAGATTTCATCTACTTCTTCTGACAGTTTATCAGATATGGACTTATCAGTTATGGACAAGTTACAGCTGGGAGAGTTATACAGTGAACTCAGATAACCATTATCAGAAGGACCCTGGTGATAGGGTGCTTCGTCCTCACTGAACTGGAGACTGTCCTGGGAAATGAATGGTCTCAGGCTGTCACAGCACGCAAAGTCAGCCTCCAGACCTAAAAAGGTGCTCCTCTTTGGCCGTTTTAGGCTGCTGCATTTGAAATTCAGTGATGGTGGTTCAGGGAGCCTTATGGTGTCATAGATGTTTTCCTCAACGACCTTGAGGTCACACGTGTTTTGGTTAGATGACTTTCTACCTGTTAGAGTTCCATCTCTTCTTGTGTGGACAGTGCTCTTATCCCGGCCAGTCTGCCTCTTTGAGAAGGCTAACTCTGGGGTGCTTTTGGGGCGAACAGAGTCCTTGGATGATTTTTGGGGAGTGGATTCGGCTTCTTCTCGTTTTGCAACCATTAGTTTTAAGTCTTCGTAACTTATGTTATCATAGACATGGTCTATATCATCAATAGTCAACTCTGTAGAGGACCCAAAGGAAGTCATGCCATCCTGTCCTTCGGTGGTAGGGCCGTTCTGCAGTTCCCTTTGGGGGCTGTATGGAGAGCTATCACTGTCTCTGATTCTTATTTCAGGAGGACATGTGTTGCTCTCACCAGCACTGCTGGCCCTCCTAACAACCCTGTGGCCAGAACTGGAGGCCTCTGTGGACTGAATCTGTCCCATGTGCCAGCTGCAAGGGCGACTCGAAGTGCCGTCTTCACTCAGTCTGGTGGAGTTCAAGTCTGAAGAGGAGAAGGATGGTACGAACATCTGATAATCATCCTCATCGTCCTCATTCTCCTGTGGCGACCGCTGACTGGGGAACAAGGCTTGCCTGATCTGGTGGTCAGTCCAGATGTTTCTCACAGCACCAGCTCTGCCCAGCACGCTGAGGATGGCAGAGCTGCTTGGCTGACTGTTTCTCTGGGCGAGAGGCAGCCCTGCTGAAGTCAGCTGGGGCGACCCTTTCTCTCTGGAAGCCTGAGGAAGTCAGAAACATAGCAGTTAAGCGACAACACCATGGAGAAGATACATAGCGTATGACGTTCTCCTGTATTTACACACTGTCTCTCCCTTAAACTGTAATACTCTTAAAGAAAATGATTGGCAAAAATTGTTGCTTTTAATTGAGTTGAGAAGCACTTCAATTTTTTGCTAAAGGAAGGAGCAGAAAGGACAGTAACTAATATTTATTTAGAAACTAGGCTAGGTCATTTGCCGACATTCTCCAAACTTAACGTTCACAATCGCTCTGTGAATTAAATATGATTGTACTGGTTTCACAGCAAGGAAATCTAGGGCTCATAGAGAGCCAGTAACTTGCTCTACCTAGTCGTAGCAAGTAGGACTCATCCCAGGTTTGATTTCAAAACCCTTGCCCCACTGCAGAGTATCAGCTAAATTCAGAAAGCTCTTAGATACTTCACATAAGTCCAGCGTACACTTGGCAAATATTCATTATATGAATGAATATATGCAGGGCTCAAGGGCCATGGATCTAGTTTCTTCGGGGGACTTACTTAGAAGCCTTAGACCCATGATGGACTTCCGAGGAGTCTTACAGTGGTTTCCAGTTCACCAAAGTCCTTGTCAGTGAGCCCACTGCACACCCCAAGGGTTTCCTTAAATCTACAGACCTACCATGAACCCGACCAGCATCACCTTGGTTTATAGATTCTAGGCAAAGAGCCTTTTGTTCCAGGAATGTAACCTAATCCACTAATGAAATTTTTACTTTCCTTCAAAATACATTTACGTAGGTGATATCTAGTTGCCTGTTAGAAAGTCAAATATGAGTAGCATTAACTATTTCTAATCAAACAAAACAATGGGGTCTTTTATAACTGGGAACTTTTCTTGATGGGGCTGAATTTCACAGAGAGTTGATTACCCTCTAACACTATTCTGTAGGTATAAGGATTAGCTTCAAAGAGTTGAAAGGGTTAAGACCTGTTCAGACTAATTAGTACCCAGGACATATTTTCTGATCAAAATACTATAGTAAGATATCGGGAGTGTCCAATTAGCAAGAACCTTTCATCACTTGTCAATGGATCTGGTATACATGTTGTCTTGGAATTTCTATATTTCTTTCTTTCATTATCTCTATCTATCATCTACCTATTGTCTCAGAATATATATTTATATTTTAGATCTTGTTGGGAATTTATTATAATCCTGAAAAGAGAGAGAACTATTAAGTTACTGTCAAGGAATATTTCCTTTTATAAATTCTTTACTCATTAGTAAATCTGCTTTTTGTATACATTCAGCACATTACTGTTGGGAAACGGAATTTTACTACTATGGAAAAAGCACATCTGATATTTTCTTTCTTTCTTGTTCTCAGATTTTATAAGGTTTAGTTAGTCCCCACATGGAGACTTGGTTGAATCGCTGCTGGAGAAAGTTTCTAAAAAGCACTAAGATTGTAACTCTAGGGCCCTTTCTCTGACAGAGTGATTGTCCCACCCGGCATGGAGAAGGGCCAGGCTCCGTATCTCAGTTTGGCTGCTTTAAAGACCAGGGCACCTTTTGCAGTGATCCCATTTGTGAAAACGCGCACGCACGCATGCACGCACACACAGAAAATCCAAATCTCACACCCTATTTCAGGGCGACGAACCAATTACTGTTAGTAAGTTTCAAAAAAGCTTCCAGATAAAAATATGCAGTACCTGAAAAAAAAATCCACATACCCTAAGCCATGAAAATCACCTAAAGATCAGACTATGCTTCTGTTGATTTTTAGACATTTTATTGGTTTTAACTGAAAGATAAAGCCTTTATCAACAGGGTCATCTTGGCCCTGTGCTGGGAGTGGAGGAAGTGGAATTGTGGGAGAGATTTACAGAGCCACATCCTTACAGATTTATAACAGTGAACAAGAAGCCATGATCCATTTCTTAAGGACTGCTGATCAAGCCAATTGTCCAGCAGCAACACTGGACAAACCACTCAGGCCAAGATGCAATAGCTAGTCTTCATTGCTAATAAATTTATATATACATCTTGCAATACAGCCTACCATCTTCATTTCAACACATTAAAACAAATCCTTCCTCTCCTAACTTTTCATCAGGGGAAGAAAAAGGAAAACTCGGTACAGGGAAGACTCATTATATCACATATCATCACATCTCTTCCACCGTAGGAGGACCTTGGTCTCAGAAAGGACCCTCCTCTCTGGGATTGAAGGCCAGTGCTTCCAGAAGTGAGCAATACTCAGGCCTTACAAGAGCAATGTGGGGTGGCTCACACTAGTCCTTGGAGGCATTACATCCTAAGGTAAGGTTACAGTTTCTAAGGCGAGAGGCAGCGCAGAAGGATGAATAAGTGATCGCCTTAGTTCTAAGAGATGGAACAGTGGCAAGGGAGGAGGTTGATCAGGATGAGTCTTCATTTAAGTCTATTTCAAAATGTAAAATAACTGTTTACACTTGGAATATAGGTGGGGGTTGAGACATATAAAGGAAAGAGTACCTATAAAAGGCACCTAAAACAGACATTTCAAAATAAGAAACGTAAATAGTTCTTACCTTTTCTTGGATGTCCTGTGTTGTTTCTGAAAAATTAAAAAAAAAAAAAATTTTTTTAAGTTTAAGAACAAAAATTGTATCTCACATATAGATAAATGCTAATATTTTATAGGAATTTTTCAATTATTGCTAATAATTGACGGCCAAAAGGCTCCTGGGCTCTTTGCACTTAAACGTATTTTAAGTGTAATAATTCTCAATTATCCTAGTTGTGTATTTTGTACTATATGTAAAACAACCTAACATTTATCTGAATGTGAAGTATCTTCTTAATCTCTGAAGTTTTGTTCGATTCTGTGTGTCTCATCTTTTAAAACTGTTTAAATTTCAGAAGAATATAAAGTAAAAAGTCATCAAACCCTCCCCTACAAATCCCACCCCATACAGGTAACCACGGAGTCTCTGGGTAGTGCAGTTAACACACTCAGCTGCTAACCAAAGGTTGGAAGTTTGAGTCCACCCAGAGGCACCTCAGAAGAAAGTCCCAGCTATCTACTCCAAAAAATCAGCCATTGAAAACTCTACGGAGTATAGCTCTGCTTCGACACACATGCTGTCGCCATGAGTTGGAATTGACTATCTGGCAACTGGTTTTTTAGAGGCGACCACACTTACAGGTTTGATGTTCATCTTTCCAGGTTCCCACTGCCCGCCCAATACACACACTACAGTGCACAGTTCCTTTTTTGCTTTTCAAATAAAAATGAGATATGCAATATTGCTTTTACTGTTAAATATATGTGGACATTCTTGTCAGTGGATAGAGATCTACTTCATTGTTTTTAACCGCTGCATAACATTCCATTGTATGGATGTACTACAATTTATGTAATCGTTTCCCACTAGTTGAGCATTTCATGCAGCGTCTTTTACAAATGCTACAAAGAACACACACATACACAGGGCTATTCACACTTGGGTGAATATTTTTATACACGCCTAAAAGTCAAATGCCTGGGTCAAGGGGATACACACTTGGACATTTTAATGAGTATTACCAAATTTTGCTCCAAAAAGGTTGCAAAAATTAACATTCTCACCAGTAGTATCGAACAGTACCTGTTTTTCTATACCCTCTGGGCAAGCTCATAGCGTTTTTCCCTACAGCTATCTCATTTAAACGTGTGGTTTCTGATTACTAACATGGGTGACTTTTGGTTTTATCATTTTATTGACAATTTGTTTCTTCTGTGAAACTGCTCAATTATATTCTCTGCCTTTTAAAGAAGAGTCATTTGTCCCTTATTTTTGATGTATGGAATTTCTTGATATAATAGGCATACTAATCTTTTTATACTTGTTATTTATGCTACAGAGTCCTGGTGGCATAGTGGGTAAGAGCCTGGCTGCTAACCAAAAGGTCAGCAGTTCAAATCCACCAGCTGCAACTTGGAAACCTATGGAGCAGATCTATTCTGCCCTATAGGGTCGCTATGAGTCGGAAATGACTCGATGGCACCGAACAATAACATTTATTACAAGTATTTTATGCCATTTAGCTTTCCATTTTATAAAGTGTCACTTATAAAAGTTAATCTTACTGTAATAAAATCTGTAATTCATCTGGTGTTTATTTTTTACATATGGTTTGACTAAGTGGATACTGACAAGAGTGAGAAAAGAAAAGATATCTCAGCACTTACCACTGGTCTTCAAAACTTTATGTGATCTCGAAGAAGGTTCTGGGAGAAAATATAAAGCCAGTATCATTTGCAAAACCAAATTATGATTTTTATTTATAAGTTTATGGGCAAACTGAGCTACAGATACTTTTCTATCAAATTTACCTAAGTCCCCATTGCTTAGAGATACTTAGCAGCAAGATATTTACTCTGTCAAAATTGTAGAAAAAATGTAAAGCCTTGGAATCAGGAGTCGTGTAACAGAGAAGCAAAATATTGCTCTACCAAGCCTACCAACTAGTAGAGCAGCTTCCTTAGCTTTAAGTACAACCTATAAGCTAACATGTGCTCTGGTGGCACAGTGGTTAAGAGCTACGGCTGCTAACCAAAAAGTCAGCAGTTCGAATCCACCAGCTGCTCCTTGGAAACCCTATGGGGCAGATCTACTCTGTCCTACAGGGTCGCTATGAGTCGGAATCGACTCAATGGCAACAGCTTAATAAGCTGATAGGGGCCCTGGTGGTACAGTGGTTAAGAACTTAGCTGCTAACCAAAAGGTCGGCAGTTAGAATCCACCCCTTCAAAACTCTGTGGAGCAGTTCTACTCTGTTCTACAGGGCTGTTATGAGTTGGAATCGACTCGCCAGCAAACATTCAAATTTATGTTCTTATGCTAGACCCCTCTTCCAAGCTTCAGACCTCAAGTGCTTACTGCCAATTTGACATTTCCCAAATGCCCTACAGACCTAGAAAACTCCACGTCTCAAACTCAGCTTGTCCTCCCCCAAAATCCATTCCTTCATCTGTATTTCCTATCTTGGTCATCACTGACATTACCCTCCCAAGGTAGGTAGAGACCAGCACATCATTCTAAATTTCTCCTATTTCTATCCATCACAGTCTTGTGGGCTCCCAATCATTCTCCATCCCATCCATCACTCTTGGTCCAAGCCCTCGCCATCTATCACCCAGACTAGTGTGATAGCCTCTCACCTGGTCTCCCTGCCTACTTCATTCTCCATATGGAGCCAGAGTTCTATTTCCAAAGGCAAATATTCTTATTATTCACTGCTTAAAATCCTTCCATACCTTGCAGGATCAAGTTCAAACCCTATGCATGGCCTAGTAGGCGTTCCATGGTCAGGATCCCCAGCCACATCTCTTGCCAACCTTTTGGTTAGCAGCCGTAGCTCTTTTTTTTTTTTTCTCTTCTTTTTCCCATACAAAAATTTATACATACATTGTTATATGACTCTAACTGCTCTGCCCGTAGTGTGACAGAACACTTCTCCTTTCCACCCGATTCCCCATGTCCATTCAACCAGCTCCTTACCCTCCCTGCCTTCCCATCTCACCTCTGGACAGAAGCTGCCTGTTTAGTCTGTTGTATCTACTTGAGCTAAGAGGCACACTCCTCACGAGCATCACTTTATGTTCTACAGTCCGGTCCAATCCCTGTTTGAAGAGTTGGCCTCGGAAACTGTTTCAGTTCTGGGCTGATAGAGAATCCAGGGGCCATGCTTTCTGGGGTTCCTCCAGTCTCAGACCATTAAGTCTTGTCTTCTTACTAGAATTTGAGCTGTGCACCCCACCTTTCTCCTGCTCCATTCGGGACTCTCTGTTGTGTTCCTTGTCAGGGCAGTCATTGGTGGTAGCTGGGCACCATCTAGTTCTTCTGGTCTCAGGCTGATGAAGTCTCTGGTTTATGTGGCCCTTTCTGTCTCTTGGGCTAATACTTTCC